TTAGTTGAATGACTTTTAGAGATAAACACTGTGAAGTGCCATTTCTTATTTTTATTTTATTGTAGGATTTGAACCCAGGACATTTGCACTGGTCTATACCCAAGCACACTCAACCTTTGTTCTTTCCTATCTCCTGTCTGTTTTTTCATCCTTTTGTCTTCCTTCCTCCCTTCCTTCCTTCCTTCCTTCCTTCCTTCCTTCCTTCCTTCCTTCCTTCCTTCCTTCTTTCCTTCCTATTTTGACAGGGTATCTTGGTAGGTTGCTAAGTTACCCAGGATGGGCTTGGTCTAGCAGTGCCTTGTCCCAGAGCCTCTCAGAGTCCTGGAATTACAGGTCTGGACCACCCTGTCCAGCTGTCTTTTTCCTGGAATGTGCAGCTGCTGTAGTCTCTGATTAGTTGGAATATTAGTCAGCTAATGATCCTTTAAATGTCTCAAACAATACCTCTTTTTCTTTTTTCCTAAGAAATTCTGTGTATTAGGTTATAACCTCAATGCTCATGAAGTTTGAAGTTTTGCTTTAACATTTGTTTTCTGCTGGTACAGTTTCAGGGAGCGCGGCTTGAGGCCCTCTTAGATTTTCCTGGGCATGCATACAGCCCTGCGCATGCATGTAGCCTTCTGGAGGTCCATGAACGTGCGAGAGCTTCCTAGATGTCCCTGTGGAGATCTCTCAGGAGAGAACTTCCTTTAAAATATTTCTTCTGGGTCTTAGTTGCGCAGGTGTCACATCCCTGGCTTCTTCAGATTACACCCTTGAGGCTGACTGTTTTAACCCGTTCTCTGGGGATAGGATTTTGCTATGAAGCATGTTATATGCGGTGTCACATTATGACAAAGCCCGAAAACGTTGTTTTTCCATGGAACTGTGAGACAGGCCAAATAGGTCAGTTCTCTGGCTTCTGCTGTTTTTCACACCTACTATGGTTTCAAGGTTACTCATTTTACAGGTGACTGTGGAGGTTGGAGGTAAGAAGGATGGGAGCTGGTCAAGAAGTATAAACAGGTACTTTTTTTTCTAAAAGATCATTTAATTTCTGGAATAAATCTGTTAAACTGTTGCAAATCTCTGGTTAATTTCCAGATTTCTCATTCAGAAGTTTTACCAGTATTCACCTTGCTTTGATAGAGAAATTATTTACAAAGATCCTCATTTGCTCATTCAAGAAATGCTGCCCTAGTCAGGTGTGATGGCTCACACCTGTAATTCCAGCACTCAGGAGACTGAGGCAGGAGGATCACTGCAAGTTCAAGATCAGCCTGAACTGCATAGCGAGGTTCTGTCTCAAAGAAAAAAAAAATTCTGCCCTTCACAGCAAATGTGTTCAGTGGCACTGCAGTGTCTCTCTGACTTCTTTGTAATTCATGTAGATTTTACAGGTGGCTCTAAGTGGTTTTGTGATTGGTAGATACTTCAAATGCCTTTTCATGCATTATATTGTTGTACCTTCAATTACAGGAGATGAAGGTAAAAAGTGTCTTTATTATCAGTGTCAGCTCCATTCAAACCTTTGCATGATCATCATATGACAATGTTTAGTTTCCCTCTGTAAGCCTAGATATTTCCTGTGCCATGTTTTACTAGTACTGAAAACCTAAAATTCTAAATCCTTAGAAGAGTTCTAAAAACACTGCGTACAATTATTTTCTTATCCACATGTGCGATTTCAGTTTGAAATTATTTGCTGGTAAATCTACTGTAATCTCTGGCAGTTTTTCCTTCAGCTCTCAGGCTGGGGCATCAGTATGTGTGCAGATGCCATGGTGCAGCCTCTGGGCACCCAGCAGTGACCTCCCCCTGCAGATTCTCTTGTTGTGCCATGGAAGCCTCCTCCTCTCTCCCATAACTCTGGCCTCTGATACCACTCTTGCCCCTGCTATTGCCAGTGCTGCTGTCAAAAACAGGCCCAAGCCAGTTCCAGTCAATTCTGTTGCACCATGGCTTCTTTGACCCCCACAGGTACCTGACTGTTCATTGGCCCAGGCTGTGTGTGTGCACCAGCTGTTATGCCCACAGCCCTGAGCCGGTTTATTTATTTATTTTTGTATGGGAATGGAACTCAAGGCCTCGTGGTTGCCAGGTAGGTGCCGTGCCCTGAGCTCCATCCCCAGCCCTGTATATTTGGGTAGGGTGGTTCTGCATCACTACCTCATGTGAGCACTGCCTGCTGGTGTGTTTCCTCTGCTTACACGTGTGCTCCAATTTCTCAGTGGAGTGTCTTATGAAACAAATGTTCAAATTAAAATTATTGGAATTCTCACAATAACGGCAATGGATCATTACACCAAGAATCCAAGAATAGGACCATTCTCAGTTTTGTGTTCCAAACAGCTGTTCAGGTTAAGTGCTCATGAAGCCAGCGCTGTACACGTGTGGTCCCTGGAAAATGGAGTTGCATTCCCAGGGTATGGGAAGTGTGAACATGAAAATACATGGATATGGTGGATGGAGCGTTACATCTGAGCCTGACCCCCTCTCCAAAACATCTCTGTCACTCTTTAGCTTTGAGGTTTCTCCTTTGCAAAGTTACAAAGTTTTCCTCACGCAAGAGCCACAAAACCAAAGCCAAGTCTGCTTGGTATTTTCACCTGGAGTAGCACAGCAGCTCTCCTGTTGCTTGCTGAGTGGTAGCCTTCCGTGAAATGTCTGCAGTTGGTTTTTTCATAGATAGGTATTTGAGTCCCTTAGATTGTGTTACTAGATGCTTTGTGAGATTATCAGTAAAATTATTGTTTTAAGTATGATTAGAAGTTTTAAAAAATCTGCTCAAATTTTGCCCCCTGTATATACCAGCATCCAGTTTTTAAAACTATTTTCACTTTATATACATTTAAATTGAATTTAAATTTTTTCTTGATTTTGTTTATTAGTATTTATTTGAATTCAGCATTTTAGTTTTTAAAATAATTTTCATGGGATTATTCTCCAATCATCGTTGACTCACAGTTTCTTCTTTGAATCTATGCTGAAAAATGTAATTTTTTGAATATTTATGCACATTTAAGATTTTTGAATTTGTAGATACTATATATTATTTTCTGCAATGATACAAAATATTTAGAAAAATGTAATAGCTTAAATTCATGAATAGCCTAACATTTTCTCATTAACTTGCTAGAGAATTTAAGATTACTTTTTAACACTTACTCATTCTTTATGATAAATTTTAATTCAATCTTGCATCTTATTTAGAAATCTCTGTCTCCTCTTATAGCGTTAGAGTTCCCTTGACTCCTGAATATGCTTGCCAACACATGCAATCTCTTCCTTCTACTTCGGCCTCCACCTCCCCTGCCCTCTTCTCCTCTCCTCCTTTCTCCTCCCCTTTCCTCTCCCTCTCCTTCTCCTCTCTTTCTCCTTGTCTCCTTCACCCCCTCTCCTTTCTCCTCCTTTCAATAATATCCATCCTTACAGATATAAGGTGGTTTGGGAAGTGATACTTTATAATATCTTAATTTGCATTTGCATGATAATTAATGATCATAAGCTCATACACACATGACCATTTTGTATACCTTTGTTGAACAAAGGTCTGAACATTAGTTCTGTCCTATTTTGAAAAGGTTAGTCATTGTTCTGCAGTTGGATTGTAACATTGTTTTATAACTTTTTGTGTATTAATTCTTTATCAAATATGTGATTTGCAAGCATTTCCCCCAATTTATAGGTTGAATTTTCATTTATTGATTGTTTCCTGTGCACAACTGTCTAATTTGATGTAGTACCACTTATTTATTTTTGATTTTGTAACCTGAATTTGTGAGTAATGGCAAAAAAATATCAGAGGGGCTGGCTCACAGTGGCCAAGTGAGGGATTAGACTTAACTGTCTGTTGATGGATGATTTGAAACAGAAATGTAATTTTTACATGTTTTACATTACTCAGCCTTAAGAATTAGAGAAGGACTTGGAGAACCTCACGCTAAGTGAAATAAGTCAGACAAAAAAGAAAATACTGCACAATTTCACTCTCATTCAGAATCTAAGAACCAACCAGGCAACCAACCACCAACTCCAGGAGACTGAGAGTAAAACTGGTTATCATGAGTAGAGAGGACAGGAAAGAAACAGGGAAGTGGAGATCAAAAGATACAACAGAGCAGGTGCATAAGATGAACAACCGTGGAGAGCTAATGCACAAGAATAAGGTAGTGAATACATTGTATAGCATGTAGGTGTGTCAAACAGTAAGTTTTAAAATTGCTCTTGTCACCAAAAGAAGTGCTCAGTGAGGTGATGGGTAAGCAAATCTGCTTCACTGTGGCACCCTCGTTAGTGTCTCTGCCATCTGGAGTATCATACTGTAAAAGCTGAATACATACCATAAATTTATTAATAATATTAATAACAATGTAAACATCTGTTTGCTGATATAAGCTCTCTCTATATGGCCATTAAGATTTTTATGAAATAGCTTAGTGGTAGGGGATTCATGGCCTTTTTTCAGGCATTTTCAATATTTGAGACAGGTACCATCATGAAATGCTTTCTTATATGAAGTTCAAATGTGACTCTTTAAAGCATAAATCAGTTATTTCTAATCTAAGTAACTGAAATAAATTAGAAGCCAGGCAGGTAGGCAGACAGACAGACAGATAAATAGAAAATCTCTCATTGCGAATTTCTATATTTGGTCAGTTTTTTAAGTCCTTCAAATATTGTGTGTTTGCTTGTTAACCATATTGATTGATTGATTTATTGAATGTGTAAATTTTAAGGAAGTTATTCAGAATCTTTACATTTTAAAAAATGATATACTTGAACTCATGGCTTACTAAAATCTGTCTTAACTACTGTTTCCCAGAAATAAAGCAGTTCTCGTTAAGAGTGAGCCGTGAATAACAGCGGGAGACTGCCAATTGTGTGTACAGTCCTGCTTCTGTAACGGTAAGAGCAGATCCTTCTCATCTTTCATTCCTATTCAGAAACCGATTCGAAGCCTATTACAGCAGCGAGCAGCTTCTCTGTGACATCGTAACTTTGCATACTTAAAAACATACCACTTGCGTCATACTCAGTTTTGGTCACAAGAATAAAGGCTATCAGAATCCACAGGAGAAGGTTATTTGTACTGGTGGTGTCTATGTTGTCCACTTTGACAAAGTATTCTGAAAAATAAATGCCACAGAATTTCCTTGTTAACATCCAGACAGACCTTGTGCTTTCTGAAGAGAAGTTTTATCCACGAAATGGAGTCCTATACAGGATGTGACCAAGTTTCATCCTGTGCCTGTGGGAGAACCTCATTCTCCTTGGAGCCACCCAGAGGGGGATGTGGCAGTCACTGAAGACAGGTGGAGATGGATGTCCCAGGTCAGGCCAAGGCGGAGAGGGCTGCGGGCTCTCCTGGGAAGTGAAGGAGCCCCATCAGCTCCAGGCCTGCCTTTACTGCTGCTGTCCCAGAGAGCCAGCCTGATCTGGGCGGGCCTAGCAAATGACAGCTTTGGGGCAAAGTGAAGCCTGACAGGTAGTCTTAGGGAACCTATAATTTCAGAAGGAATTTTGTATTTTTAAATCACTGAAAGAATAAGAATGAGAATCATAGTTCAAAACACAAAATTCCATAAAATTAAAGTTCTAGTGCTCATAAACCTTAGCCGTCCCTGTTCACGTGTGTGTGGCCCAAGCTGCTTTGTGCCCTGACAGCAGAAGTGAGGAGCTGCAACCCTGGCCAAGGGGCCCAACCACAGGCCGAGGAGCTGCGGCACAGGCTGCCCATGGTGACTCAGGAGCCTCTGAAGCAGCTCATCCTCACCCTGCTGCGTTCTCTTTTAAGTCTTTGCTAATTAGCACAGAATCACAAGCATGGCAAAGAAGAAAGTAAGATGAAATAGGACTTCCAATGAACATTTGGGGGTGTGGTGGGGAGCGGGTTAATTTATTGTTGAAATGTGTGCATTTACTGTATGCAGCGCCATCAAATCTAAAAGAATGCAATGTGCAGTGATGTCACCTGGGCAGCACTCATCACGATATTCTCAAATTATGGTAAAATATATCTTTGATATTAAACAGGATGAGAAAATTTTTGTTGAATTTAGAAAACAATGTGCAATCCCCATAGAGGAATACAACATGGTATCTCCCTGCCTGATACATTAAAATACCAGGGTGTGTGTGACACGGTCTTTTATGAGAGAAAATAGGAAATACTCACCTCTATAATCCAATTGTTTTGCTGAAACAAACACACAAAAATCACAGGTAAGAAGATATTCTTCAAACATTGAAAAGGAAAAGAAATTTGTAAATTAAGATCAAGGAAGTCTAATACCAATTCTCTCATGAGTATTTTTAGAGGATAGTCAGAGATGCAATAAAAAGAGAAAAGCAAAAGTATTATGTACTTTGCATACTTCAAAAAATTTGAACTGAAAAAGGAAAGTAAAATTTATATTTTTTGCCATAAAACACATGCTTTTTAAATACTATACAAGTTTTCATACTTCATCAGATGAAAGCTGAAGTAGCAGGAGTAAAGGTGCTAAGTGAACTTAAAACTTTCTCATATATGAACCTGAAGTTGAAAACACTCCCCTGTGCTTTCTGGGGAATGTTATACATATATATTTTTTTTCTCAGGCCCAGAGTTTGTTTTCTATGGACAATAAATAAATATTTTCCATGATGGACTACACATTATTCTCTATAATTTATTACTACGTAGGGAAAACAAAATCTGGGAACTCAAAACATGCCTCCTTAGCATTTTTTTTAATCTAAAGGGCAAAAAAAAAAAAAAACCGGAAACAATTATATGCAACCCACACCTCTTTCCACACTGAGGAAGGTATAGCCTCTCTTTTCCCAGAGACATTGGGTCAATGACAGACCAAAGGAATTTGAAAGTATACTTTCCCCTTTTATTTTCTTCTCATATATTTTTCTTATACTTTCCTGCCTTCAGAGACCTGAAACTGTTCATCTTTGCCTTCTTGCTTGTCTAAGACTTATCATTCTCTCTTGGTATCAGATAAGCCCTAAGCCACTGTCATGGGTTAATTTTCTCCAAGGTTTCTCCTGCATGATTTGGACTTCAGACATTGTTACACTTGCTTGTTCTTCACTTGTTCATCTGTGTTTACTCACAGCACAGCACGATTTTATAAGGGAGCATAAGCGCAGGTGTGTCAAACACGTGTTTAATCTTCTGAATGTTTCTATTTATAAAAGCATCAAAATTTTCAACACTGATTTTTGGTGTACAGAGTAAAAAAAGAACAGAGTATGAATTCCTATATAAACTACAGTGAAAATAGCAATAGTACTCTACAAAGAAAAAATCTTTTCTTCAGTTATCACACCTAATGTGGCCTTCATACATGACAACAGCATATTCCATGCAAAAACTGCTCCATAGGGGCTGGGGATTTAGCTCAGCGGCATAAGTGCCTGCCTTGCAAGCAGGCAGTCATGAGTTTGATCCCCAGTACCGATAAAAAGGAAAAAGACAAAAAAACAAAACAAAACAAAACAAAAAACACCAAAAAACCAAAAACCAAACAAACAAAAAAAACTGCTCCATGGAGCATCATGTGAGTATAAATCCTGGTTTCACAAATTTGCTGTGCACACACCATGCCTTTTGTCATACCAAGTGGGCAAACACAAAGATTGTTTCCTGTATTCCCTTAGGGGAAGGTACTGAGACACACAGCAGCTACTGCTACACGAAAGTAACAATTGACAGTAGAAAAGTAAAGGGGTGTGTTTGTAGGACATTCTGTTATGCTTAATTATCATAAGGGTCTTCCCCAAATATAAACTCCATAAGACTTGAAGAAAAGTATTATTTTCCTCCTCTTCAATACACTTTAGTGACACAAAGCTTTAAGAGATACAAAGTGGGAAGGAATATGGAAGGAAAAATGTAGGCAGTTGTGCCTCTGTAGCATTTTCTATGACCTAGAATCACCTGTGAGGTAGCCCTTCCCAGATGAGTAAGAAACTGACAAACCCAGCGCTACTCTGCCTCTTGGGCTGAGTCTCATCTGCCAGTCTCAGACCTGAAGAACTACAACTGACCAAGGAGTACATGGGTTCTTCCTACTCGGAGCTAATTTAGAAATGTCTAACAGGCTTTTAGATGTGCTTAGAATTTGTTTTCTCTAACAGCACATGAAATTTATATAACTATTGTTGTTTTTAAGTTGTATGAGCAAAAACCAGTAACACAATATAGAAGTGGGCTAAGAATTTGAATATACATTTCTGTAAAAAAAACTTTCATACTATGGTTAATACTGGCTTATCTGAAGTAACATTTAATTTGTGTGTGTTACTTCAGACTAGCAAGAAGCACTTAAATTGCTTAATTTATATTTTTTCAATAATAAATAAACCCAAAGCTCATACAAGGAAAGAAATTTTGAGGATAAGAGGAGAAATTAATGCTATTGAGACTTAAAAAGAATACAAAGAATCAATGAATTGAAAACTTGAATCTTTGAAAAAGTGAATCACATTGATAAAACACTGGCCAGCCTCAGCAAAAAGAGGAAAGAAAAATGTCAAATTCAAGCAATTAGGAATGAAAAGAGGGAAATCACAACAAATCTCGCAGAAATTTAGATGATCACCAGTGCCTACTACCAGAACCTACATTTTAAGATGGGAAACACAGAAGATTGCTAGACAAAGTCCAACTGCCAAAACAAAATCAAGAAGATATAAAAATGATAAATAACCCAATATCAGCCAATAAAATTGCAAATGTAATTGAAAATTTACCAACAAAGAAAAGCTGTCAGGTCCTGAGCAATTCATGGTTGAATTCTACAAGAAATTTAGAGAGAAACTAATACCACTAATGCTGAAATTCTTTAGTGAAATTGAAAGAAAAGCAGTACTTCTAAAATGATTTCTGATTCCAAAACCAGAGAAGAACCCAACCAAAAAAGAAAACTGCAGGCCAGTCTCTCTAATGAATATAGATGCAAAAATCCTCAATAAGTTACTGGCAAACAGAATGCAGCAAATCATCAAGAATATGACCAACTTGGAATCATATTAGGAATGCAGGGATGGTTCAATCTACACAAATCAATAAATGTAATATACCATATTATATGGTTGATATATTGTGTGAACTTGAGAAGTCTGGAAGCTTAACTCAGAGCCTCTACATCCTGGGGTGTAGAGTACAAGCCATTATGACTCCAGAATGTTGTTCATTGTGTCACCTTGAGGTCAGAAATTTAACTAAGTGCTTCAGCAGGTGACCAGGATCCTAACTTTATAAATATCCTTAGCCTGTACAAGAGGAGAGCATAGAGATGGTGTGGTGTGAGTGCTTCACCCACCCTAGTGGTGTAGCTTGCTTACAATATAAGGGAGGAAAAGAGGTTTGCTATTCCTCATTTTTTTCACTCTTGCTGCTTTTGCTGTCTTCTTCAGCCTTAAAGGGTTGCCCCTGTCCCATGATGCCCTTCCTTGGAGCCAGCTGATTATGGACTGAAACTTCCACAATTTGTGAGTTAAATAAGTCTTTCCTTCTGTAATTTTGAGTGTAAAGTATTTTGTCCCAGAAATGAGACAAAAATAATCAAAACACAATATTAACAGAACCAAAGACAAAAGTCACAGGATCATCTCAATAGATGCAGAAAAAGCATTTGACAGAAGTTCAACACTCAGTTATGATAAAAACACTACAGAATACTGAAATAGAAAGACTTTTTTTTATCAATCTCATAAAAGCCATCTATGAGAAACCAACAGCTAACATCATACTAAAGGCCAAAAACTTAAAGTTTTCATTCTAAAGTCAGAAACAAGACAAGGATGTCCACTGTCACCACTTCTATTCAGTATAGTTCTGGAATCGACCCAAGAAATTAGACAAGAGAAACAAATAAAAATAAGGACAGGAAGGAAAGAAGTTAAATTATAATTATTTGCAGATGACATGATACTGTACATAGAAGATGCTAAAAGCTCCACCATTGTACATAGATTTAATAAACAAATTCAGTAGTGTAGCTAGATACAAGGTCATCACTCAGAAATCCATAGCATTCCTGTACACAATCAACAAACACACATAGAAACATTAGGGAAACCTCACAATAGCAATAGCATCAAAAAAAAAAGAGATGCCTAGTAATCAATCTAACAGATGAAGTAAAAGATCTATACAATGAAAATTACATTACTCTTTAAAAGGGAAGTAAAAAGGGGATCAGAAAATGGAAAGATATTCCTTGTTCATGGATAGGAAAAACTAACAGTGAAAATAGCCATACTCCCACAATTGTTATACAGATTTAATGCAATCCCAATCAAAATACCATTACCATACCTCACAGAACTAGAAAAAACATTCCTAAAATTCACTTGGAACTAGAAGAGACCTAGAATAACAAAAGCAATCATGTGTAACAAAGGCAAGGCAGGAGGCATCACAATTCCTGACTTGAAGATATACCACAAAGCTAATGTGCTAAAATCAGCATGGTATTGGGAAAGAAACAGACCTTGTGGTTAATGGAATAGATTGGAAGATGCAGGTGCATCCCTAAACACACTAAACAACCTGTGTCCAACAAAGGAGCCAAACATATTCACTGGAAGATAATCTTTTAATAAATGGTGCTGGAAGAACTGGTTTGTCACATGCTGAGGAATAAAACTAGATACATGTCTATCACCATGTGCTAACCTAAAATCAAAATGGGTCAAAGATCTAATTATTAAGACAGAAATATTAAATATACTGGATGAGAAAATAGGTAGAAATCTTGAAGACATACTTTTAGGCAGAGACTTCATGAACAAAATTCAGACCACCTGGGACATACAATAAAGAATCAGCAAATAATTTTAATAAGAATCTCATCTTATTAAGCTTTTTCACAATGAAAGAAATGAAAAGACAACCCATATAGTGGGAACAAATTATAGCCAGTTGTCCATCAGGCAAAGGACTTATATCTAGAACTTACAAGGAACTAAAAAAAATCAGCCCCCCCAATTCAAAAACTCAGTTCAAAAATAGGCATCTGAGATGAATACATACTTCTCAGATGGAGAAATACAAATTACAAATAAATATGTGAAAAAATGTTCAACATCACTGGTCATTCAAGAGACACAAATTACAACAACACTGAGATTGTATCTCACTCTAAAAAGAATATCTGCCATCAAGCACTCAACCAATAACAAATGCTGGAGAGGCTGTGGGGAAAATGGAACCCTTCTCCACTGTCGGTTGGAGTGTAGACTGGTGCAACCACTGTGGAAATCAATATGGAGATTCCTCAATAAAACTAGGATTGGAGGTCCCATTTGACCCAGCTATTCCCTTTCTGGGTATCTTCCCCAAAGAATTAGAAATATTATGCTGCATTTATGTATGTGCACACATGTTTATAGCAGCCCAATTTCTGATAGTTGAATCACGGAAACAATACAAATGCCCATCAGCTGAGGAAAGGATTAAAAAATGTGCTTTAAAAAAAGTGTAATGGAAAACTACTCAGTTGTAACATGATAAAATTGATTTTTTATATGTAAATGAATACAACTGGAGACCATACGTGTCAGTGGAACAAACCAAACCCACATGTGTAAACATCATATTATCTCACCAGTGTGAGAATCTGAAAAAGGAAACAGGATTCAAAATATACAATAGATAATATGAATGTGGAAGAAACTGTTCAAAAGATAAGGAAAGCTGTAATGGGACAAAGGGAAAGAAGATAAAAGGAAATAATATATAAATGCCAGACAGTTAAGCTAGTTATACAGCTGGTTTCTCTTGGTTCATTGAAGGGAAAGTTTTGTGTTAGAATTTTCTGGACAATGTTTTATGCCCATATCTTGTACTCTGAGAAATTATTGTGATTAGAACAATGTACATTGTGTTGATTTTTTTACCATTCCATTAGCCTATTTGGAAATGTTTTTCTTACTGTTATTTCTTTTTTTCTGTTTGAAATTTAAAAAAACTCAGTACAGTTTTCTATTTGAATATATTTGCAAATAGGGAATTCTTGTTGCATTAGAAGATTGTGCTCTAGTTTCAGAAGTTATAGTAACTTAAAAATTATTCACTTTTTCATCTAAAACTGCTGTTAGTTATGTATGTTATGTTTGCTGAGTCAGAAATACTACTAATACTTGAAAATTATTATTTCCTTCAAAATATTCTTTGAAAGTTAAAACTGTTTCACTTAAATTTTCATCTCCATGTGTTCAACCCCTTCACTAATTGGTTGAGTTTGATGCACTTTCTTACAAGCTAGTCTTCTTTTAGATGAGTTCCTCAGTATTAATTACAGAACTTGAGATCCAGTGCATTCAGAGAAAGTACAGTGCTTACTCCCTGTGTGCAAATGACTTCTATAATGAGCAGCTTAGAATTTTCTCATCATTCTTTTTGACAAAGGGACAAAATGTTGTAAGGAGGAGAAGGGACCCTTCCAGTCATATAAGGATGAATAGGTTCTATGTGGTTAAATACTGATGAAATAATCATGAATGTTCATTATCAGAATTATAATTCATGTGGTCAGCCTTTCCTCACAGAGTTCCTTTGTTATAATGTGCCTATATAAAAAATGACTCCTAAAAACTTTTGTGTCTGACTCAAACACCAAACTCCATGCTATTTTTGTTTGTTGCTTTTCAAAAAGATTTTATATAGATTGCCAAGGCCAGGTGTTCTCGAGAGAACAGAGTTTCCCATTCTCTTCTCAGGAAGAGACACTGGCATGATTTTGTGAGAAACTTGAGTTAGCAGACTCATGTCTAGATGAGGTTATATAGGACTGGCTTTCCCGGGTAGATAATGGCCACTTAGTGCGTGAGCTTGCTTGGAGCAGACACAATATGTTTATGCTCAGAGAAAACTCAGAGATTCCATGTGGGTTAGAGTTAGAGTGATATGTCTATCTCAGGAAAATGTGTATGTTGCTCACGTGAGGGTAAACTTAATGTGACCCTGCTCATGGCCAGAATTAGATTCCTTTCCTTACCAGACTGCATGGGGTAGACCTCAGTGACCTTGTAAACTTAGTTAAATGATTGTTTAATTTTTTAAAAATAACAGTTAATAGTGTAATCAAGTTAATAGTTTTGAGGATTACTGTGAATCAGAATCAGAAGCATGGTCACAATAACTGGGAGCTCGGCTCCACTCCTTAAACCTTTAGTTAGTACATATCAGAATGTTTTCACTATGCATATTAGGAGTATTTTAGATTTCCACAGCCAAAGTGAGTTTTCAATTCTACAATGTTGTATTTTTATTACCTTTAGAATGTCAGTGTCACATTCCTCAAAAACCAATTTCTGATTATATTTTTAAAATAAGTGAGTTTTAGCTAGACCTCCCTATAATTCCAGTTACTTGGGAGGGACCCACATTCAAGACCAACATGGACCACTTAGTAAGACCCTGTCTCAAAACAAAATTTGCAAAAGGCCTGTAGATGCAGGTCAGTGTCACAGTGCTTGCCAAGCATACATGAGATCTTAGGTTAAGTCCATGCTGCTGCAAGCAAATAAATGACTTTCTAATGAAATGGAAAATGGTGGAAATATGATCACAGCAGTAGTCAGAATTGTGAAGTTAACAGAAACAGATAAAAACCCGAATACGCAGGAAACATTTTCCCAGGAATATAAGAAACAAAGAGGAGAAATATGGGAACCGAGATAGTGTCCAAAACTTAGAGTGCACTGGAAAAAGACAAAGCAACAATTAACTTGAGAGCAATTGGTGGCTAAGACCTCCTTAGAGACACACATTTTGGAATGAGATTTCCAGATGGAACTCCTGGGGTCCCTGCTGGGGGTCTATTCTAACTTTGTGGTGCAAACATTTTCCTTACAGGCACTAGACTGATAGGGTCGTGCCGCACATACACAGGCTTGAATGAGAGCAAATAACTAAAATAAAACTCACCATCACGGCTCCGAATCTGACAAAGGAGAATTCTATGTGTGTCGTTTGACAGAATCTCCATCTTAAGAAGGAGGCAGTTTCAGATCTGGCAGGAAATTCCCAGCTGTGCTGCAATCTGGTTTGTCAGGAAAACAAGTGTCCTTATGCTCCCTGCCCAAACACAGGGGGAACACGCTACCCTTCTGAGCACTAGCCTGGAGCCACAGAGAAGCTTGTTTTACAAGGGTTTTGCACCTGAGAGGATGGAATTAACCAGTAAGGAAGGCGCAAGATTGGACTTGGACCTCATGGGATCATAAAACATCTTACAAGTGTTCATTTGTTCATTTGAATGGATGTGCAAATAACCACATATACCACAAATCTCAGTGGAGAAATAGTAGATCACATTTCTGTGTTATTTTTCTTCACAAAATTAACCTGAGTGAGATTGTCTAGTGTTGAAAGAGGAGAATTTTTATGTTCACTTGATAATTTATATAGACCAATAAAACTAAGCCAGGATTGCTACAGAGTGAACTGTTGGTTCTAGATTGCTTCCTTTCCCCCAAAACTTAATCCAATGATCCAAGACTCCTCATTCAAGACCCCTCTTCTTTGATCTCCTTTTGTAGAATTCTAATCCTCACAAAACTTTGATCTCCTTTTGTAGAATTCTAATCCTCACATTGGCTTCAGGATTCTTCGGCTGTCCATCTTCACCACTGTCCACTTGATTTCCTGCGTGCTACATGCATGTATGAAAATGCCTCAGTGAACTTGTACTCTTTATAATAAATATGCACTAACAATAAAAAGTAAAAATCCCAATATGTTGCTATAGTATTTTTCAGTTTTCTGAGATGAAATTTACCTACATAAAATTCAGCCTATAAACATTTTAAAGGATTTGCAATGTTGAGCCACCATGTCCACTAATTCCACAATTTCACTGCAAACAGAAACCCCAAACTTGAAAAGGTTTCTCGTAATTCTTCCTTCTTCTTGACCACCAGTGAAAAACCCATTTTCTGTCTTTATGAACTTGCTTATTCTAGATATATAATAAAGAGTTCACATACAGTTTTGTTGAGTTTCTTCCACTGACATCATGTTTTGCAGGTTTATACATACACACACACACACACACACACACACACACACACACACACATATATACACACACTATTCTTTTGTATGGCAGAATAATATACCATTTTATGGATGTACCAGAGTTTGTTTACCCACTTCTTAATGGACATGTGAGTCATTATACAGTTTGCCATTAGAGAAAGTGCTGTTCATGAACATTTATGCTTTTTTTGTGGTAATGGGGATCAAACTCATGACTTGATGCTTGTCAGGCAGGTGCTTATGTCACTGGGCTAAACCGCCAACCCCCAATTATGCATTTTTATTTGGACACGTGCTTGCCCTTTTTCCTGTTCTCTCCTCTTCTTCCCTCTCTCTTTTGGTCCATCTCTCTTTCTCCCATCCTCTTTTTTGTCTTTTTGAGACAGTTTCACTATACATTTCAGACTGGCCTTGAACTCACAGTGATCCCGTGCCTCAGCTTTCCCAGTGCTGTGTTAGAAGCGTGGGATACCATGCCTGGCTGGCTGCCTGGCTGGCACTCTCTCTCTCTCTTTCCCTCTGTCTCTGTCTCTGTCTCTGTCTCTGTCTCTCTCTCTCTCTCTCTCTCTCATTCTCCCTCCCTCCCTCTCCCTCCCTCTCTCTCTCTTTCTCTCCCCGTGTGTGTCTCACCCTCTTTCTTCTTCCTTCCCCTCTTCCTCTGCAGTACTGAATCCAGGGGCTCACAAATGCTAAGCAACCACTGTAGTACTGAACTATGTCTCCAAAGAACATCTCTTTGGTCTATTACTTAGAGTGGAATTGCTTTCAGAAGTAATTCTATGTTTAAATTTCTAGAAAGTTCCAAACACATCTTCTCCATGTTTATCTTTCTTCTCTTTTTGGAGTATGTGGGGCAGCCACAGTAGTGGTTGTAAAGTTGTAGTACACTGTGGTTTTTATTCACATTTACTTTAAATGACTAATGATTTGTGTATCTTTTTATGTGTGTATTCAATATTTTTATATATTCTTGGGATGAAAGTCTGTTCAAATCCCTGGGGCACTTTAAAAATTTCTTCTGACATGTTATAACCAGTGTACAAAAATGTACATGGAAAACTTTCGAATGTTTAGGTTAGATGAAAAACATATTTTAGTCAAATCATAATGCCATTAATCTCCCTGAAACTATTTTGCTGTAATAAGAGTTCTAAAAAATTTGAACATTCATTATAGTTTTAAATATTATATACAATTTGGTAAATTTGGGCATATGCATTTACTCATGTTATGAAGGTACATAATCACCTCCAATAATTTGTTTATGTGCCCCAAACTTTTATTAAATATTTTAATGTGCTATACCTAACTGTTAACTAGTGGACACTGTGTTGCACAGCAGATTTCTGGAACTTTCTCATCTTGTTCACCTGTAAATTTATATGCATTGAACAAGTCATCATACCTCTCTCTTTCCATTTCATTTACATTTTCTTTCCAGCATCACTGCATTGTCTACTTCTCTATCTGTGACTATTTAGATGCTTTATGTAAGAGAAGTCATAGGTTTGTCCTGTGACAGAGCTGTTCTCATAAATGGTAGTGTTTCTTCTTTTAAAAGACTCAATACTGTTCTATTGTAGGTATGTAAAGCATTTTATACATCTGTTCATCATTGATAGGCCCTTGGATTGTTTTTGCATTTTGATTATTTATAGCGATGCTGCAATAAATACAGGAATACTGATATCTCTCTGAGATCCTGATTCCAGCTCTTTTTGAAATATACTCGAAGTGGGATTGGTGAGTGAAATAATGTTACCATATCTACTGAGATTGAAATCTTTCATTATATTTATAGCATATAAAAATTAATTTGCATATGTTAAACCAAATTACACCCAGGTATAAGTCCATTTGGTGCTGTATAACTTACTGATGTTTTGTTAAATTCAGTTAACTAGTAGAAGATCAAGAATTTTTGCATGTATATTGTAATGTAATCAGAGATATTGATCTACAGTTTTTTTTCTTGTGGTATCTTGGTCTGTCTTTCATATCAGGGTGATAATCATTTCCAATGAATTTGGAAGTATTCCTTCTTTTTTTCTGTAAGAGTCTGAGAAAAGATGCTGTTAATTTTTCCTTAAATATTTGTTAGATTTTATTGATGAAGCTATCATCTAATCATGGTTTTTTCTTTGTTAGGAAGTATTTTTTTATTGTGATTGAATTTCCTTATTTGTTATAGGTCTGTTTGGGTGTTTGCTTTCTTCTTGATTCATTTTTTTTTGTGGGTTGTATGTTTATTATTACTCAGTTACTAAATTTGTCATTTTATAATTGCTTATAAGTTGCAAGTTATTTTATTTTAGATCTTCAAGCGTTTCACTCTAAGCTCTCCTTGTTGTGCTGAGAAGTCTGCTGTAACGCAGAGGGCTTCTCCTTAGCAGGTGATTTGTTTCTTTTCTCTAACAGATTTTGTTCTTTGGTGCATTTCTGGAATCTTTGCGATAGTATATCTTGGCATGGTTCCTTTCTAATTATGACTATTTGGGATTCTATATGCTTTAGCTACCTGTATGTCAAATTATTTTTCCATTATTGTGGAGTTTTGTGCTGTTATCTTTGTAAAATGTGTTTTAAAAATTTTTTTAAAATTTTATTTTATTTTATTTAAGAGGAAAAAGAGAAAAACACAAAACAAAACAAAGCGGTGTAATACACGTAATACACGTAATACAGAACTACAAAAAAAACATAACAGTAAGAAATCATCTGTTAATAGATTACATATTATCATCTTGAAAATAGTTGCTCAAATCACAGTATCAAAGAATACAAGGTGGACATTCAAACAGGGAGACTGCAAACAGCTGTGTTCAATGATCCAAAAACATTGATATAGTCAGCTATTTAACACCCCTAAACACACTTGCTGTTATATCCGTTAGAGCTCTTTTTATTTTTTTCCCTCTCTTTTTTACAACAAAATTTACACATTTTGGATTTTATTACTCCTTAGTGCTTATTACTAACAAAACAAAGCAAAACAAAGCTGTCAGTCAAAACTAAGGATAGACATAGCACATGGTGTAGAACAGAGCACAAGGTTATCAACAATGGTTATTAACGTTGTCTCTTGTTTCCTTAAAAAGAATTGTCTATCTCATTAGATATTATAAAGTTGGACAAAACAGTAGAGAACAAGACCAATAAAACTTAGGCATTGTAAACATTACAGGACTTCCAAAGGAGACAATAGTCAAACCAGAATGGGCATCTTAGGGAATCTTATTGCCTTCAAAGTAGTTGCCTATATCCTCAAACTTGATACTATCATACAGAATGGAACAGAGTCTAATCAGTCAAAACAAGATCGTGGGAGTATTACAGGACTTCAAAACAAGTTAATAGGAAATCAAAAAGTGTTACTATATATATATATATATATATATATATATATATATCCTAATTTTTAAAATTTTTTCCCTTAAGTAAGACAAACATAAGATGCAAATTAAAACCACACTGAGATACCATCTCACTCCTGAAAGAATGGCCAGGATCAAGAAAACCAACAACAACAAATGCTGGAGAGGCTGTGGGGAAAAAGGAACTTTCCTGCACTGCTGGTGGGAGTGTAGACTGGTACAGCCTTTGTGGAGATCTGTCTGGAGATTTCTCAAAAAGTTGGGATTGGAAATCCCATTTATTCCAGCTATTCCACTTCTAGGTATATTCCCAGAAGAACTGAAAGCATCATACCACAGTGATATATGTGCACCTATGTTTATAGCAGCATAATTTGTAATTGCCAGATCTTGGAAACAACCCAAGTGTCCATCAACTGAGGAATGGATAAAAAGGTTGTGGTATTTCTATACAATGGAGTATTATTCAGCTATAAAGAAGGATCACATTGAGATATTTATCAATAAATGGGCGCAGCTTGAGACCATACTCATAAGTGAAATAAATCAATCTCGCATGTGTGAATACCGAATAGTTTCCCTAATGTAAGTAATGATTCAAATATATAAAAATATGTGGTAATCATGATTCTCCATTAGGTGGCCTTGAAG